TGTGTGTGTGTGTATTCCAAGCATCAGTATTTATATTCCAAATATCAGTAAGGCTGTTGCTTTTCCTGAAAAACAGATGATTAAATTTGGGCATCTGTATGTCTGGTTGAAACAGTTTCTTTCTTTCTTTCTTTCTTTTTTTTTTTTTTACTATGATAGACACACAATGAACACCTATTCTGATAAATGATTGCTACTGAAATTAAACTCAAAATACTGTTGTAGATGTTGGTTGCACAGTAAGATTGAAGAGACTTGCTAGTCTTTTCCCAGGCCTGCCTTACCCTGTGTCTAAACGCCTGGACTGCAGTTCTCTCAGAACCTTTAAAATTATGTTACTTAACAACTAGGCAAAATGACTAATCACAGATCTGAAGATGGGAAAGAGGTGGATCCGTTTCAGATAGACTCATTTTTCCAATGTGATAGTGTTGGTGTGGAACTGAAGGATTTGGGATGATTTGGTTTTTTCCTTGGTCCACAGGTAGGTGTCACAATTGCTTTGGAAAAAAAAAAAAAAGTCAGCAGGCCATTCTCTCTTCCCAAGCTCATAAATATACAGATACAAAAAAACAGATCTGTAAATCTGGACCACATCTTGTGCCACTGTAAAGAGAAGGATCCACACAGCACTTGAACCCACAGACTCTGACGATTGGAACACACTGTTGGATGTATGTGAATTTGTTGGCATAGTCTAGTTTCCCCGATGTACGTGTGACTTTTGAAAACAATCTGTTCTTTTCTCAGGATATCTCAAATTGATCACTTCATTGCCACGGTATATATTCTATAGGTGTGATAGGATTTACTGTAAAATTTATTTGTAAAAGATGTACACAGTAGAAATAAAACGTGATTGAAGAACTTGAGTACTTCAGAAGTGGAAACAAATTTGATATTTATTTTTATAATGATATAAAGCTTCTAGTAATTTATGCAAGTTGTATTGCAATGAAATCTAAACTTTTTGTAAATAAATTCTGCCTGGTTTTTATTTGAACATTGCTGGTTATACAATCTTTGTTGGTTGTTTAACACGAATTCTTTACTAATTTATATCTTTAATTGTAAATAAAGACAGACTAGTCTACAATAATATGGTGTTTGGGGCTCATTTTTCCTGAAGAGTGATTTGGGTTAGAGCCCTAGGGATAGTAGCCTCCAGGTGATCTGAGCTCACCTTTTTAATGAAAAGCTGTGTGACATAAACTCTCCTTTCTCAAGAGCATTAAAAAAAAAAAAAAGGCAGATGTGAGAGAACTACACAATAGGGCGATATATATGCTTCTAGACTATTTATGTACAAATGTATTGCAAGATCATAAGATTTTTGTTTTCTGAATATGCAAATTCTTTGTTAGTGTAAATTTCTAAAACTTGGAAAAATAAAATGATCTGACACTCCTATGCATTTTACATTTATTTGTGATGCTGGCTTATTAAACCTCCTCAGCAAACTAAACTAGAAGAGAGTAATAATATTGATAATGGAGGATTACACTTCCCACAAGAAATTACTGATGGAAAATATTGTTTTTTATTAAAGCCCAAATTATCCAAATTGGCATAGATTATTCAGATTTCCTGAATGACTTTTAACTCTGATTTTCACATCATTCCCCTCAACACCAGGGGCAGGTCTGGGGCAGGGATCTTGTTCCCTTTTGGTGGTACTTATTCTTACCCTGAGGGAAAAGGAAAGTTTAAACAGCTTTAGACCACTGTCTGCTTATTGCCTTACTCACTCCCTCATTACAGGACAAGCCCAACATTTGCAGTCAAGTAACGCATCCCCTTTGATTAGGATCATAAAAGCAGCAACCCTGTCACTTTAATTTTCAGCAAAATTATGTGGATATCCATATAATATAATTTCAGAAAAGAAATGAACAATCATTTATTTCCTCTCCAAAGATAAATCGAGTGAATATAACTTACGGTTATAAAACAAGAATAATGGCTTCTTAGATTGCCCTTTAATCAATCATACACTTATTTTTCAAGCGGTTCACCTATTCTATTCCGTGATTAATAATGGTGCAGCTCGAGAGTGTTATTGGATCCCAGCGGGGGAGGTCTCGGGTGCATTTAGCTGCTTTGGAATGGTCAGTTGGGGTTCATTATGGGCTGAGATTGAACGATTTATAAAATCTTGTCTAAACATCTGCCAGCTCCGATAGGCGATGTGTCTGAGGATGGGAAATTGCTGGACCAGTTGATATTGACAAACGGATCTCTCTCCAGTGGCTTTTTGTGCCATAGAAATTAGTGGCCTCTTGCTGGGGTCTCGTTAGAAAGGGTATTTGAAAGTAATCTTAGGTACTTGAGCAAAGCCAGGGGACTGTTAGCCTGACACAGCCATTCAGATGGGGGGGGGCGGTAGGGGGTTGACCGTGGAGAAGAGAGGGAGGTGAAGGTTCCCTCTTCCAGGACTGCTTGTGCATTTCATGGGTTTTAAATACACAGGCGTTCAGAGGCCAGGCACTTTTTTTCTCTCTTCCTTCCTCCCCAGTAATAGAAATAGAAATGTTTGGAGCTGAGCTACCTACCTATTGGCAAGAAGAAAGACAGGACCCATGTCACCTGTGTAGTGATGGGAAGCAAATAAATGAGAGGTCTGGGAAAGTAGGACGGAGCTTTGAGTGCGTTTTCTGGTTTGGGTTTCAGACATAAAACCTTCATAGAATTTCCATGAAAATAATGATGTTCCCCTCCAGGAAGGTATTAAGTAGTTTATTAATGTTAGTCATATTTCTGGAATCAGCAGGGAATAAAATAGACATGGCAGCCATATTTCTATTATATGTAACATTATAATGTGTTCGGAGGGCTTCAGTGAAAAATGTGAGTTAGCAATATTTACAGACTAAACACCTGAATATCAACTCTAATGAAGACACAATATTTAAGGCAGTGATTTCATCTCTTGAAGAAGGGTGGAGGATGGGGACAGAAACCCCAAGCCACAGCTGATCTTCCTGCAATGATTCAGAAACTCAGGCCTGGGTAAGAGCTACCTCCTGTGGAGCAGGGTGATGTTTTACCTGGACACTGACTCCCTGGTTCCTTTCCCTACACACTTGTGTCAGACCCCCACTCTTGGAGAAAACATGCACATTTCGACTGGTGAAAACTCAAAGCGGCTCAGGAGATTAGCCAAGGCTAATGAAGCTTCTTTGATGTTTATATGCCCAACAAATTATCCAAGATTTCCATAACTTACCCACCCTGCCTCCTGACCTGAATTTCTTTCTGGAGAACTTGATTTTTAAATATACACTAGCAACATGAAACCCGCAGGTGTTTAGATGAATCTTTTAAAAGAAATACAGTGACTTAAGAACTCTTCTCCATGCAGGTCATTGGAAAACATGTGAGAGACCTTTCATTGGGGAAGGAAGAGGAAAGGGTCTGAATTTGATTTTTGCTGTTAAAACGTGTTAATCAAAAAATAATGTAGCAGCCCCAAACAAAACTTTGCAGCTGCCCCCTGAGATGGGGGGAAAGCAAGCAACCCTGGCTAGAGTGAGGAGGGCTTTGGGGGTGACGGCAGAGTCGTGGGTGTAGGCCTGGGCGCCCCCCTCCCCCGCGCGCCGGCCCTGCGCACCTCAGCCCCTCTGCCCTCCTCGGCCCGGTGTTTCATTAAAGCTGATTTATCGGAATTCGCGCCTTAATCTCAGGTGGGCCCCAGGGGCCGGAGAACTAGGGGCGCTTGCCCGGCGGCCGGCGCGGGCGCTGGCTGCCTCCCGCGCCCGTCAAATGTCAACATTTGTTCCCAATAAAAGAGTTATTGTTTCTGCAAAGCTGCCCAGCAACTGCCTTTGAAACTTGAAAAGAACTTCATCTACCTTTGTCTACTGCGAGGCGGGAGGGGTGGAGAGCGAGGGAGAGGAAGGGGAGGGCAGTGAGGGGGTAATGCAGGGCTTGGCAGCCTGGAGTCTTGGGGGCGCCTCCTCTCCACCCCTGCCGGACCACCGCCGCGGTTCATTCTGGAGGTTGGAGAGTGGCGGGGTATTCTGCGCGAGGCGTTCTTCAGCGTGCGTGTTTATCAGATATCTGCAATCCGGGATGTTCCAACTGCGAGAAAAACACAGGGATAGAGAAGCTGCCCTCCAATGTGCTGCGCCTTTTAAGGTCAAGTACAGTTGCATTTAAATATTTATTGAAGAGGCTGAAAGTGAAGCATACCCTTTCTCCCCAATGTTCCAGAATAAGTTCACGCTGAACTACCGCTGTTAGAGCAGACATAAATTTGAGAACAATCATTTCATTTTTGACCCAAGCAGAAGCCTTTCTGAATTTCAATAACACTCCGAATTACTAGAAAGTTTCCTCCAAGTAACAACATACAATAATTGTCACAGTTATCTAGTATATTGCAACCCTCAAGGAAACATGCAGTTAAACCCCAAATTGAAGGTATAAATACATCTATTAGATATGTGTTTTTAACCACTTTTACAAAAATAAAGTTTCAGTATTAAAAAAAAAATGTTAACCCAAAAGGTGATCTTGGGAACAATACAGAACCGTCTGATATATGGATATTGTGATTAACATCATTTGAATTTCTACAAATCACAAGGGGGACATGTCCCTTTGATGTATTTTCAAACCTTTATGCAAGTGACAAATCCCTACAGATATTTTAAAGGCTTATTTTAAGGAGAAGTAATCTATGACAATATAATTTTCCAGTTGCTGAAAATTACTTTCTATTGGTCATAATGAAAATGCTCAGGACCCTCCTCTCTGCTTTGGCTGCAGCCCTAAGACTCTGGCATTCATAAGAGGTGATTGGACCTCAGCCACTGGTGGATGAAAGGAGACCACTTCTAGACCCAGTTTTAGGGTTCAACTCCCCATTTGCATCCTTCACTGTCTTCACCAGCTCTCCCTGAAAACAGGGACATAGCTGCAGCTGACATCCCTGTTCCCTCCACCCCAGCAGAGAACCAGGCTGTCCTACAATGAGGGCAGAGTGTTCTCCTTTTTTCTAAGAAAGATAAAAATTGAAGGCATTATTTGGGAGGACTACACTGTAATGCGGTTTAAAAGTGAGTTATGAAATATGTCATCTGTTCTTTTGCAATCCCAGGTAAAGGAAAAAGGAAGAATTTTTGTTTGTTTGTTTGTTTAAACCTGGCCCCGAGATCATAAGGAAAGGCCTTTTCAAAAGGTGTCTCAGTGTTATGTTATTCTAATCTAATATTCTTAAAGAATTGACTGGGAGGTTCCAGTCTGCCTCCAAATCCAGTCCATCTTCCTAGGAAATGCCCAGAGGGGAGAAGAAAACACAATGCTACACAAGCCTTTGCATTTTTGTGGGGAGATAAATTGACAATTTATTGTGTGTAACTCCTGATCAATTATTAATCGTTAGTGTCAACAACAGGGTTATAATTACCTTCGGTTATTTTAAGAAATATTTGCTTTTACGTTTCTCTGATCTGGTAATTAGTTAAAGCTCTTGAGTAATGAATTCCAAGCAGAGCTGATCAGACCCACCCTTTTCCCTCCCCTCCTGGGTGACCTTTAAGAGGAAACACTCACACTTGCCCTGGGTTCTCAGAAATTCGCTCCCTGCCTCCTTTCTACCAGCGGGCACCTTTTATTTTTTTGCAATAAATAATGATTCCACAGGAAAAGAGGAAAACGACAAACAAATAGAGCTCAGCTGGAATTAATAAGGTTGATCAAAGTTAGCTGGCCGGAGCTGCTCACCGCCGCACAGGTCTGAGGCCCGCAAAGGTGCCCGCAGCCTTGGCCTCTTCCCTCCGAGATCAGGAGGAGGGCAAGGGCACCCATAACCTCTGGCGCAATACGGGGGCACGGGCTGACGGAAAGACTCTTGTTTCAACGACTTGCGATTTTCAGCCGTGCGGGGCGGGCTTGGGCCGCTGCAAGGATGGGCGTTAGTGTTCGCCCTGCGCGGGTGCAAGTCCCGCCCGTGCCCGGCTCTCGCGCCCCACGTCGCGTCTTAGAGTCGGAGCGCTGAGGGGCCCCTTGACCCTGAGAGGTGAAGAGTCGAGCTCCCAGGCTAGGAGGGGGAGAGCCTGCGGCCCCGAGGCGGGGGCGGGCTATCCAGAGCGGGAGGAGAGGACGGGCAGTGTTGCTCCGGAGCCCCTCTGGGCCTGGCGCGGAGAAGGGCTGTGCGCCATCGCGGTGGTCGCCCTGCACCTTCTGAGCTCCAGCAGCCCTGGGCTGACCGCGAGGGAGCTGAAGGCGCTGACCCGGCGGCCAGCCTCCTGCCCCTGGTTGGGTCAGCTTCCCACCCGGCTCTCGGGTCTGCGCAGGCGCCCTTCCGGTGGGTGCCGGGGATGGGGTCCTGAAGCTCTTTTCACCCAGGGTCAGTTCCAATCTCTCGCTGTGCCCAGCAACTGTAGTCATTTTCTTTGGGAATCTGAACTGTTTTACGCCCTGCAGAGTCCGGGACTGTCCCATTGGGGGGCGGGGGAGTCCTTCAGCTCACATCTCCAGACTCATTTCAGTCCTGCGGTCCACCAGAGCAGCGCCACCGCCACGTGTGCACTTAAGTGGCCACATCGAGGCCCTAAAAGGCAACAACCGGGACCAGGCGGTTGTCAGCGGTGGCAGATCAAGGGACTCTGCGGACTGAGCGAGCCGCCTCTCGGCCGCCGCTGTGCATGCGGCGCCAGGGTTTGGTAGAAGCCCAGGGCCCAGGCACACAGGAGGCCGGCCAGGGCGCAGAAGAGAGGGCAGAGCAGGGCCTCGGGGAGCACGCTGCCCCTCGTCCCCGCGGCCCGGGCGACCCAAGGTCCCCGACTTTCGGGTCCCCATTCCTTCGAGGGGAGAAGAACTCGGACCCCTGGAAGACTCCTTAGAAGAGGCCGCACCCAGGTCCGCGGGGACCCTCGAAGACCCTCCAGTTCTCCGCGAGGCCCGGTTCCTGACTCCCCGACTCCTACCTCAGGCTCCGGGGCGAAGCCCGGCTCCTCTCCCGCCC